CGGCTATTGGCGAACTCATGAAGTGGCTTTTGGATGAAGCACCAGACGGAGGCCACGTACCCGTGCACATTCGGTATGATTCGGACTACGCAGCGAACATAGCGCGGGGGTTATGGGAGGTGAAATCAAACGAGGAGCTTGCGGACGCCGTACAAGAGCTCACAGCGCGGGTATTGGAGAGACGCAGTCTAACTTGGGAACATGTGTATGGGCACACAGGCGCCCATGACAACGAGCTGGCAGACAGGGCGGCGGATCTAGGTAGGCGCGGGTATGCTTCTCGCCAATCGGCCCGGTGGATGGCGACCCCACCTCAGGTGGCCGAGTTGCAATGGAACGAGGTGGATTATTGCAAGAAATGCGGCATAAAGGTGCTTAGCAAGGATCTGTACGGGCACATCACGAGGTGCACGGTAGCGGGTTATGCCATACCGGCCGGAATGACGAAATGTCGTAAGTGCCTCACATATGTAAAAGAGGGGTGTCGCAAGGCACACGAATCCAAATGCAGGGGGAGTGACATTTTGAACCGGACATGCTCGAAGTGTGGCTTAGTCTACCCACCGCCTCCCCCAGGAATGCTGTGTCGCCCTTTAGGCAACCACGAGAAATGGTGTCGTGGGGACGCTGCAGCGAAAGCAAAGGCCCAGGCCGTTGCGGTCGCGGTGGCGGCGGCACCGGCGCCGCCCCCGCCCCCCGGGCCAGGTGCAGCTAAAGCGAAGGCGAAAGCCAAGCCGAAACCGAAACCGCACGTGGGGGCCAAGGGAAAGGCGGGCCCGCCGGTCAAGGCCGCCCCGGCCAAGGCTGTTACGGCCAGGGTTGCAGGTAAGGCGCGCGGGGCGAACGCCCAGGCCAAGGCGGCGATTCGTCTCGCTGGGATTGCCCGGAGACGCCCGGCGGGAGCCGGATAATCAGATCTCGTTTCGTGTAGGAAATAGCGGTCTAGGGGGGGTGGGAGGGCGGGTGGGGGGTGGCGGGCGGTCATAGGACCTTACCACAGTGTGCTTGCTATCTGGGATTTCACAACCTGCAGCTGCCGGCAGCGCCCACGAGGCGATCTGTCACGAGATGATGCCGGGCACGTCCCGATGCATCGGGGGCGGCCAGGACAGGGCTTGCCCTGTTCATTGTTGTGCTAAAGTGAGTCACGAACTCACTTCCGGCCGCTCCCAGGCCCCACTGCAGGGGGGCAGGTGTATAGGTCCAATGGCCGCCGGCCGCCTCCTCGCCTTGCCCCCCCTTGCTGTTGCTCGGCTGCGATTCTTCCCCCCTCGACTCCCTCGTGTTGTTGCCGGCGTGCGTTTGCTTGCCTTTTTCTTTTCTTACTCCCTCTGACGTGACGTATACTGTTTCTTGTGCGCAGCTAGGAAAAAAAAAAAAGGAGGAAGGCCCCCCCCCTCCCCCTCCCCTCCCCCCGCCCCCGCTCGAGCCATGATGTGTGCAGTCACGTGAATTGTTGCTCGCCGCCCCGACCAGCTGCTCAAGGCCCCCGCCCGGCGGAACCGGCTCTCGCCGGAAGGGTCATGGCCGCCCTCCTCCTGCGGTGCCCCTGGTTCGGCGGCGCTGCCGTGGTCGTCGTCGTTGTCGTCGTCGTGGTCGTCGTCGTCGTCGTGGGTGTTGTCGTGGTCGTCGTCGTCGTCTTCGTCGTCCTGGTCGTCTGGGCGGCGGGGTCGGCCGGGGGCGGGCGCGGGCGGGGGTGGGTGCCCGTCCGGCGGCAGCCTCTCTCCCTGCTTGATCGTGTGTCGGTGAGGGGTGTGACAGAGAAATGGCAGCTGAGCGCCGCGCAGCCACGGAGCGCCGCATTGCGGCGTTGGAGGAGGGTCAGAGCCGTCACACCGAGCAGATCTTCCGCCTTCGGAACGAGGTCAGCCGAGTGCTGAAAAGCACGAGTGTGGTGCTAGAGGGATTCCCCTCGGTGGACTCGGTGTGGGAGGCGCACGGGAACCAGGGAGAGTACCGTGAGTTGCGCAACCTGACGCCGGAGGCTGTTGGCCGGGACCTGGGGGCTCACCTGGGGCTGAGCTGGCCCTTGCCGGACCGCGCGTCGGACCAGCCCGGGTCCACCCAGCAGGCGGTTCGCTTCCTCTGTGAGGAATTGAGCAAGCCAGGGGTGCTTCAGAAGGTCATGGAGCAGTATCGGTGGGACCACGACCGCGGCACCAAGGTGCGGATTCCGAACGTGTTCAAACTGAAGGTTAAGTTCGGTGCCTCCTCGCTGGGCATGGAACAGATAATTGACGGCTTAGACCACCCGTTGCGCCGCGCTTCGGGTCTCTCCGTCGCCGGCCAACCTACGCTTCAGGAAGGGGCCGCCCAGCCGCCGAGGCGGCTTCTCTACAACGAGAGGACCGAGGAAGAGCGCCAGTGGAAGGGCGGCGGCAAGGGGCAGGCCCAGGGGCAGGCCAAAGGCGCAAAGGGCGGCAAGGGCGGCAAGGGAACCCAGGGGGTGCTTCAGGGCCGAGGTGGCGGCGGCGGCAAAGGCAAGGGCAAGGGCAAGAAGGGGAAGAAAGGCAGGGCGGCCGCCAAGGCAGCTGCGGCACCTGGGGGGGCAGCCCCGGCGGCGGGCGCAGCCCCGGCGGCGGGTGTAGCGCCCGGGGCAGCGGGCGGAGCGGGCGCGGGCGGGGCGGGTGGAGCAGGCGGCGGGGCCGCCGCGGCCGGCAACGCCGGCGACGCGATGGCTGACTAAGGGGTCACCCCACAGGCCCGTCCCCGGATACAGGGCCCGACGGGGGCGGGTAGTCGAGCCATGGGCCGTGCATGGAGCCATGAATTCGCAGGACACATCGTGCTTTCTTGTTCTTGTTGTGCCCACCCTGGTGTGATCTGCACGGAGTCTCCTATTGTTCTGTGTGATCGAGTGTGTGTGAGTGTGGGCAGGGAAGGGCGGGTGGGTGGTGGGAGGACGGAGGAATGGTGGTGTTGTCCCATGCTGTGTACATCCCAATTGCGAGGGCGGGAGAGCCCTCTGGAAGTCTCTCCCCCCGCTGTGCCATCCAGGAGAGCCAATTGCGAGGGCGGGAGAGCCCATGCTGTGTACATCCCAACTGCGGTGCTGGACCCTCGACTGCTCTCCCCCCGCTCTGCCACCCAGTCCGCAGGGGCACCCCCCTTCCAATCACCATTGGGCTTCCCGACTCTTTCCAGGTTCCGCCCCGTTCCCCCTGCCCTTTTCCCCTTTGCCCTTCTCCCTTCTCCCCCCTCCCCCTCTTTCCCCCCCTCCCTCCCTCCCTTTCTTCCCCCCTCTTGTCTCTCCCCTCCCCCTGCCTCTCTTCTCCGTCCCCCTCCCTCCCCTCTTCCTCCGAGCCCAGGTGCTTTCCGGACGGCGCCCTATCCTCGCCTTCCGTCGTCGTCCTCTCCCCCCACCCCCCATCAGGATTTTTTAAAGGTCGACCGGCCGCCCCTGGGCCACATCGTGGCCGCACTCAGGGACACGGTGACGGTGACGGTGACGGGCCCAGAGGCGGTGGAGGAGGAATGACTGAGGAGGAGGAGGAGGAGGCGGAGGAGGAGGAAGGGGAAGTCGAGGTGGAGGAGGAGGAGGAGGAGGGGGAACTGGGGGAAGAGGTCCGGCACGTGCTGCGGCGGCGGCGCCAGCGCAGTTCTGGCAATGACTATGAGCAGGTTTAATCGTTTGTCGACCGCCGCGGCGACATGGCGCAGGCAGCGCTGCATCTTTAGCGCAACACCTACGAAAGCAACACTCTTCGGTCTCCTCCCGTCACTGTCGTCGTCGTAATCTGCCCCCTGTCACGTTCCCTCTGCTGCCACGTTGACCGTTCGGCCCCAGGGGCCTCGCTCCTCGTCCTTCTGGTGTTGTCTCGTGAATCGTGCCACGTGGGCGCATCCCATGTAGCTTGCACAACAGATAACGGCGTCTGCACTGTCATTGCCCTGCCAAGTTTTGGGCCAACTCATATTGTCACGTGATACAAATGGCCTGGGTATGTCACAGGGTAACCAACACGCGTGGGGAAACGAGCGAGAACTCACGTAAACAGACGGAGGGCATCTGTCAAAACCCGGCGACTGATTATCGAATGGTTTTCGGCACATGTGCCTGGGTTGCGGGTCCGACGCCACTCGGATGGCTGATGGGGTCTCATGGGAGGCGTCTCGGGGGCGTCTTGGAAGCAGTTTTTGAGCCTCTTGGAGGCCTCCTTGGGGCCTCTTGGGGGTTTTCTGCGGCCATCTTGGAGTTCCCTTGGGGCCTGTTGGGGCTCCTTGGGGCATATCGGAGGCGTCTTGGGGTGGATGACTCCAAAATGTCCGGTCGGGTTCCCCTTTTGGTCCCGCTCTTGGGGCCCTCTTGGGGCCCTCCTGGGCCTTTCTTTTTTTGTCGGGGGCCGTTTTGGGGCCCTTTTAGGTCGTATTGGAGCGCTCTTGGGGGCCTTTTGGCCCGTAATGGGGCGAACTTGGAAGCCGCTTGGGCCGTCTGGGACGTTGTGAATGTCAAAGAGGCGAATGTGCAAAAATGCACGTTTCCCAAAAAAGGTTGGGACGATGTTTGTTTCTGGAAGCCCTCTTGGGACGCCTCTTGGGGATTTGTTGGGGCGTTTGGGGGGCCTTTTGGGCCATCAAGAGGCCAGCGTGGGCGTTTGGGATCGATCTTTCAGCCGCTCGTGGCTCTCGTGGACCGCCCCAAGGGCTTTTTGGGGCCTTCTTGACCTGTCTTGGGGCCCTCTGCCCCCCCCCGGGTGCGTTCGCCCCGATTCCGGGGGACCCCCCCCCCCGAATCGACCGGACCTGGCTCCCGGGGGAGAGGCTTGCGCCGATGAGCCCCAAGGGGTCGGCGGATTTCTCACTTGATAGTTTGCTCCTGATCACATGTCGGTGGTTGTTCCTCAGGCATCCTCGCGTATCCAGGTTTATTTGGTGTCGAACAGGGGTTTCGCTACGTATTTCGCGTTCCTTGGTGCAGCAGCAGCCCGGCAGTAGGAGAGGGAGTGGAGTGTCAAGCACCCGCCCGCTGGCCGAGCCCAGACTTCTCAGCCAGACGACAGGACAAGCTGAGCGACCAGCTCTTCGTCCTCGAGTCCAGCGTCGACGCCGCAAGAGAGCGCATCAAGCACGTGACCGACCAGCTGGAGTTCCTGGGGGTCCAGACGGCGGGCGCAGAAGGCGACATCAAGCTACTCCGGGAGAAGAGTGCGGTGCCGTTCGAGGATCGAAGACGAAACAAAAGCTATGTAATCATACACCGTCGAAGCTTCGAGCGGATGCCTTGGGACGGCGCTGGCTCTCCCTGGCCGAGCCTCTGGCGCCGATCCCAGAAATTTGCGCGGAGCTCCGACAGTTTATGTTTACGCGGTCTTTTCTCGGGCTGGTGGTAATGCGGGGTGATTTAGATGGGGGTGAAATTGGGCCCTGTTCTTCACCCCCCATGTAGGTCGACCCCCACTGCCACCCGCCCGATGTTTTCTACTGGAGGAGCCCCCTAACGGAGTTGTCTCACACAGCGAGGAGCGCCAGCGCGTGATCGACCACCTGGAGGGGGAGCGGGTGCTGCTCAGCAGCGACCAGGTCGAGATCGAGAGGGCGAGGAAGCGTCTCGAGGACCTGTACATCAAGAAGGCACCTGGGCTCAGAAATTCGGCGCCGAGACTGAGGGGGAGGTGAAAAGAGGCGGGCCTTTTCAGTGGGCTCGGAAGTTCCCTGGTCTTCTGAGAAGTTTTCTGAGCCTTCCCCAAAGACGCAGCAAATCTCTAAGAAGGCGCGAGGGTTTCTGAGAAGCCCCGCCGCCTTCTGAGAAGGCCTTCTCCTTCTCACCTCCCCCCCTCGCTCGCCGCCGAGAGATGGTGGTCGCACGACTGAGCAGCTCAGACATAGACTTGGTTAGCAGTTTGGTGGGGCCATTTTTGTGCCATGACGGTCGTAATTATCTGGCCGGCATTGGCAGTGTTCTCAAGAGGCATGTTGCACGGTGGGGCCGTGGTTTGGTGGGATCCGCTCCTTCTAAAAAAAGACATGGACTTTCGGAGGTCCTCGCGGATTTCTCGGGTTGGCGCTGGACCTCCCGATGGCGGCGCCGCCCCTATCGCCGCCCCTTATGCGCCCCCTGACGCGCCAGGGGAGGAGGTCCCAGCGTCAAGGATTGCGTGTATTGTATTGTTGTCTTGCTGGTCTGGGTACAGCTGGTACGAGGGTTACCCGCTAAAGGTCTTTTGTTTTGGTCCTCCCCATGTCTTCTTGGTGGTGAATAGGACTGGTCCTGAAGCCTCCTCCTCCTCCTCCTCCTCCTCCTAGGCCTCCTTCTCCCTCCTCCTCTTCCTCCACCTCCTTAGGAGTGACACGAGGACGCTAGGCGGGTGCCGCGGAAACAAATATTTAGTTACCCCATATTGGTGGGACCCCAGTCCTTCAATGAGGCCGCCGGAAAAAATTGTGACCCCCTATTACGGGGGGTCTGAAGACCTTTCAGGGTTATGAGCATCCTTGACTTTGGAAGGGGAACCATTGTGTGCTTCCTGTTTGGGCTTTCCACCTGGGGACATTATTAGTTATGGGAATCTCCATGGAGCCTCGGTGCCTCGGGCGAAGGGGCCCGTGTTCTTGGTCCATGTTTTTTGTGCGGTCACCATCGGCCTCAAGAGGGTGGCTGGCTGGGACACCGCTGGATCTGGCGACGCTCGACGGCCTGGTCTTTTTCTGGGTGCGTCGAAAGGACCTAGACCACAACATCCGGCGAAAGTCACATGGTCCTCGTCATTGGAGGTGACCGCTGTAGCCCCCAAGACCCTCACTGTGCTTGCCCACCGCCAGAAAACAAGTCGTCTCGACTACGGTGTGCGCAGCCAGTGCTCGTTGCAAGCCCTCGAGCCCTGGGTGGACCGTGGACCCCTCAGCTGGACCTCCATGCAGTGCCCGTGAACCCCCGTGTCCCAGAGAAGCCCTGCGGGCGTACTGGAATCTGTCTTGAGCATGACATTTGCCGCCCGAGCATGCCGCCTCTCGAATAACACATCCCAACAGAAACTTTTTGGAGCTCCCCGCGGATTTCTTGGATCGGCGCTGGGGCCCCATCTGGTGCGCGGAGCACGCCGCCAGGATTAAGACATGCGCACGGGTCTACTAAAGCTTATCTCATGCCGTTTCGGAGTATGATAGCTTCGCGGCACCTGGGAAGGTGGAGGCTACGCGGTTACAGAAGCAGCTGCTGGAGAGGAAGAGGCAGGTGACGCAGGACCGCTCCCTCATCCTCCACGCGATCGACACAGAGCGCGAAGAGCTGGCGCGCATCAGGGCGGACCGCATCAAGATGAGCGAGGATCGGGCCCATCCCTCCGAGAGGTGAGCTTCATCCTCGCTGCGAGGCTGAGGCCACACCAGGCCATGCTCGTCTCGAGGCTTCCCCTTAAGTTACTCCTCACCCTTCTCCCCTAATCCGGACGGGGCTACGACGAGGATAAATCCGCTCTTGGGCGTTCCAGAACGCTCTCAGAGCGTTCTGGAACGCTCTGAGAAGGCTGCGGCGCCCGAGACATCTTCCAGAGCCGCCGGATCTCAAATATTCTCGATGTGTCTCCCAATTTTTATCCTCGTCATGGCTTCGTCTTACTAACCCGTCCTTCCTCCTGACTCCTTCCTGTTCCATCCCCGCTCCTCCCCTTCCCATCCAACCCATCCTCTGTCGCTATCCCAGCCTGGCTGCCACTTCGGTGCCAGCATGGTAGCGGGATTTCGCAACGCCTGGTGTAAGTTCGCATCCCCCTTCTGGCGGATCGGGCGCAGAGGCGAGATCGGGACAGGGTGGGTGCGAAGTCTGCGGCGTGCAGCTGGTGAAAGGCCTCGCCACCGAGCGCCCGGGGAAGCCAGTTATACGCGAGCCGATTCGCTGACTCCTCCCTCTGCCGCCCCCCCCCGTTCGTCCGCCCGCCCCGACCTTTGAGCTCCAGGGTAGGCCCATGCCCCAGGAGGGTGTTGAGACCAAGCGACTGTCGGCGCCAGAAGTCAGGGGGGGGCTTCTTAGAAGCCCGCCCGGAATGTAAGAAGCCGCCTCAGAGGCCTCCCGCACCTTTTATTACGAACCAAGCGACGTGTCGGCGCCAGAAGTCAGGGGGGGGCTTCTTAGAAGCCCGCCCGGAATGTAAGAAGCCGCCTCAGAGGCCTCCCGCACCTTTTATTACGAAGGCCCTGGCCTTCTAGTGAGCCCCGCCGCCTTCTCAGAAACCCCACCGTCGTGGGCGCCGCCAAGAGGTGGCCCCCTGAAGGAGGCCGGGCCCCATCCTGGGCTTTCTGACCTCGGCAGCCCGGGTCGGCGCGGCGACTACACAGGGTGTGGCTACGCCGGGCTGTGGTTTGCGATTTGCGTCGTTGGGGCTTGCGAGGCACCGCGTTGCCCTCGTCGGGGCGCGGAGAGGAACTCTGTCGAGGTCCTCGCCCTCCCCCTTCCCCTTCCCCTTCCCCACCCCCGCCCAGAGGTGCAAGCCACACCCTTCGAAGTCGCCAGCTGGGGGCCCACCGCAGGGGACGTCAGCAGGCCCCGAGAGCCCCTGAGAGCCCGTGCCTCATCACGGCCCTGCCCTCCGCCGGCCTTTCTCCCTCCCCCCGCCGCGGTTGTTGATGCGAGAAGGGCGGTCGTTGAGGTGATGCTCCGATGTTGCCTCGGCCCAGGCGTGCGGCCGTTGATGCGAGAAGGGCGGGAGGGAAAGAAGCGGGTCTCCTCCTCCTCCTCCTCCTCCTCCTCCTCCTCCTCCTCCTCCTCCTCCTCCTCCTCCTCCTCCTCCCCTCCTGTTGTTTCCCTCCCTCCTCCCTCCTCCTCCTCCCGCGTCCTCCTCTCTCCTCCTCCTTCTCCTCCTCCACTTCAGCCTCCTTGCCCCGAGGGTAGGGGCCTGGCACCTGTTCTCATGGTGTCAGCACCACACACTCCTCGGGGCACACTGTCAGTGTCAATTGCATGCGGCGGCTGGGGGCAGATAGACCGGCTTTCGTCATTCTTGCACCAGCCACGTGGCACTTTGCCCGTGGCAGCGGCGCGTTGGCTGCGCCCGTGACCTGGAGATGGGTACCAGGCACGGGGAGAGTGCATTTGGTTGAGAGGCGGGGCCAAGTGGTCCGTAAGTCCCTTGGAACCTTGTGTCCGCTCACCCTAGGGTACAAACCCAGTTGCACATGCCATCCGATTCGGCAGGGGCGACGGTCCGGAAGTACTGCGCGGTGACGCGGTGAACCGGCTGTCCCCCTACGCACCACGCCGTCTCGGTTGGGCAGCGAATCGCTGATCGACGAGGTATCTGCCTATCCCCTGACCGTCGGTGCTGGCGCCTGCGGGGCCCTTCCTCCTGTCTGGGAGGCCGAGGGTGACGGTTGAGCCTCGCTCGCCGTTCACTTCGTGGATCTATGACACTCATGACACTCCACTTCGGCCTCCTCCTCCTCCGCTTCCTCCTCTCCTGGGCGTACTATGCACTCTTGGTGGGATCTTGGCGCGGGCTTCTGGAGGCAGTGTTTGTTTTCCTTGTATAGTCACACGCTTTGTTCCGCACCTTGTGCACACTACATACTGCAGTCTGGGGCTTCTGCTGTCGGTGGCACTTCCTTTGTTTGGCTGGGGCAAGGTGGTCTGTGGGTGAGGCGAGTTCCCTCCTCCATTGCGAGAGTTAGCCCAGTGATCCTCGGTAGGGCCTTATAGTGTCAAACTCATTTCTGCTTAGCCACTAGTTTTGTCAATGCGGAGTAAATTCGGCGGCACAGCCTCAGTTTTTATATGTTTTTGGGCTGTCATGGTAGTTCTCTCGTGGCGTGGCTGTATTCAGGTAGTGTTGGTATTGCTGTATTCAGGTCGTGTGAGTGTCAGTTACTGCGTCTGGGCAATATTCATACGTATTCTGCTGGTACCTGTCCATCGTCCTCTCGCTCGGCGTCTTCGATTTCGAGCTCAGAGGGTGGCTTGTGTAGTATCACTACGTGATGTCGGAAATCCTGGAAATTGTTTCCCTCCTCCTCCACCTCCTCCTCCACCTCCTCCTCCTCCCCCTCATGTCGGTGGCGAGCGGAGGCCAGTGGCCCAGGGCGCGCCGACGGCGCGTGGGCGACCTTGTAGATGGGCTTTGCTCGCGTTGCCAAGCTGAGCCAGAAACGCTCGTGCGCATACTTTGGATTTGCAGTGAAACCAAGTGTGTTGATTTTCCCGAGTTCCGACGATCGGGATTCCTGATCCCACAGGTTCTCGCGGGCCACGAGAGCCAGCCTGGACTCTGGCTCCGTGGGCTCCGTCGCAGGACCTCACGTGCCCGATCTTTGATGAAGAACGGCTCCAGGACTTGACCGTGCACTTCGGAAAAAGGCTGCCTGGATGAATATCGGGAGGGAGGGGTGGTGACGGTGTTCGAGGACGGGTCGGGAGGGAGATCCTCTGACGACCCCTGGAGGAGACGCTGTGGAGCGGCGGTGGCAACTCCCTCTTGGGGGCCTTGAAATGTGGACTCTAGGAGCGGTGATTGCTGCGCCCCCGTGGTTGGTTTCCAGCTGAGCGTCCCGAGGGCCGATGCCCTGGCCTTTGTTTTGGCTTTGGAAAACACCACGGGATCCTTGCACTACGTCACCGACCATGAGGCGTTGGTGTAAGCATGGGCCGTCCGTAGCACCCGTTGCAGCTGAGGCGAGAACGAAGATTTGCGGCACCGCGTGTGCCAGGCGCTCAGTTCCAGGGGGCCTGGCACCGTCACCTTCGAGCGGATGCCCTGACACGCGGAAGAAAATATGGAGCACCCGAGCACGAGCAGGGATTTCTTCCCGGCGGCTGGCAATGCGATTGCTGATGTGTGGGCGCGGAGGGCGGCTGAGGTTGCGTGGGAGGTGGCCGGCAGTCAGAAGGATGACAAGGCGGATGCCTGGGACGCGACGGCTGCCCTGGTCTGGTAAGGGCCAGGGCACGGCGGGCCTTGCAGCTGTCGCCGGAGGAGGATAGCAAGAGAGCGGAAAGAGAGCAGAGAGAGAGGGTGCCCCCAAAGTCTCGGCTCCAGCTCCTGTTTGCTATCTCGACCCACTCCTTCCAGAAAGCGGGCGGCAGGTGGAAATGTAGTGTGTGCATGCAGCCTGTGTGCCGCAGCTACCTTGAAGGGGTTTGCAGGACGGAGTGCGTGGCCCCTGTGATCCCCAAGGTCCCCATTGCCAGCTCTGGGCCCTGCGGGACTTCTGGGGGCAAGATGACGTGCTCGGAAGTGGTGGCCCACCCGACGCACAAGATGAGTGTCTGGCCGAAGTGTCTGCTGTACTTCAGCACGTGCTGTGGCAGAACAGGCACGGTGGATGTCCGACATCTCGCCGAACGCTGCCCCAGCAAGAATAGGAAGGGTCAAGAGAACCTCTCGAGAATTAGGAAGGGGCTCTAACCAAGACGAGAGGGCCCCCCCGAACGCGGTGATAGCTGCACTCCACCAGGCAGAAACGGAGGAGGCCGCGGCCGCGGCGTGCATGTGGTGCCCGCCCAGCAAGAGTGAGAGTTCGTCGGGGGCCAGTCCTGGGAGCCAGGGGCCTGTCCCGTCAGTGGGGGACTCGCCGAGAGCTGGGCGGCCTGAAAGGCCAAATGGGAAGCTGCGTGGGCGATGTTCTCTTGGAGGCTCTGCTGCTGAGCCCAGGTCTTGTGAAGAGTGGCGGGTGGAGCCTCCTGATCCTGAGGAGGAGGCGGGGGAATGGCTCGGCGCTCGGGAGTATTTCGCGCAAGGTGCCTCTGCGAGAACAGCGGAGCTGCAGAGTGGGGAGCTCTGCACCGAGCCATGTTTGCCGCCACAAGCGGCCTGATGAAATGCGGCCTGCGCGTGATGCTGTCCTTTGGCTTCGGCTCTCGGCAGGGTTGTGCGCGGGGTTGCGCCGCGCAGGCGGCATCATGTAGAAACCATTCGATCGAATCCTCCTCCTTTTCATTCTTTCATAGAGAAGCTGTCGGCCTGCCCCTCCTCCTCCTTCTCCTCATCCTTCTCCTCCTCCTCCTTCTCCTCCCCGTGCCGAAGGTTCCCGCAGCTTGCGGGGTGGGCGCACGGGGCGCTGGTAAGATAGTGCGATTATTGCACTTTCGATGAGCACCCCCACGAGCACCCCGCAGGTTTGGGAACCGGGGCGACACCAGCAATCCGTCTTTCTGGCTGTCGGTGGGTGTGCCTTCCACCTGGTCTGCCCGCGGGCAGCGAGTTGCATTCCCATTCGTTTATGGCTGTCGGTGGGGTGCCATCCGCCTTGTCAAAGGCCCCTTAAAGGGGGCGGAGGGGGATGTGGGACCCAGGCCCCGTCGCGTCGTTGTCCATGGCTGTCGGTGGGTGGGCCTTCCAC